GAAAAGAGAAATATAACATACAAAGGCAAACAGATCAGATTAAGCTCAGATTTCTCAACAGAAACCATGCATGCAAGAAGGAAATGGGGAGACATATATAAAAGCCTGAAAGAAAAAAACTGCCACCCAAGAATCCTCTACCCAGCAAAGCTGTCAATCAAATACAATGGTGTAATCAAAACATTCCAGGATAAGGGATTTTGCCAAAGCCAACCCTGCTATGAAAAACATCCTAAAGGAAGTTCTGTGGACTGAGAACCAGTAAGAACACATAATAACTACAGAATAACGTACATGGCAGCATCAACCTGAAGTTAGTTGACAAATGAAAGAGTCAAGAACAGAATAAAATTATAAGAACAGAGGGTCTGGGAGGTCAGTCTATGATCAAAACAATTTCAATGTGAAAAAAGTTAAACACAGAAGAACAGAGATCCAGGTGGTGAGAAGGTCAGGTAGATAACTGGATAAAATAGACTGTCTTAAATGGAGGGAAGAACTAATGGAATATAAGGTAACCACAATGGAGTTGGGGTTAGGGGGTTTATTTTGGGTGTTGGGGAGGGCAATACAAGAAGCGGGGAAGAGGCAGAAGAACAAGATAGATAGGAGAACACTGAGACAGGTTTGCATGGCCTAGTGGGACAGAGGTAAATAGTGACGTTGGAACAACAGGGCTCTGGGATACAGGGATCTAGGTATAGGTTGAAGAGGGTAAATAATACTAAAATCCTTGACTGACTTATGAATATTAGTTTCTCTTGCCTACTATTGTAAAATAGACACTTGAGTGGGATAGAAAGGAATGTTGAAAAACATGATTAGAGAAAATTTGTAAGCCCGCCTTCATCCTATAACTGATTGGAATACCTAAAAGGGATTCTACAACTTGCCCAGTGAAATAGGCCTCATGCAAAGCCTTTACAGAGTATAGGACTTTAGGTGGAATCCTGAGTCCCATACACAACTTTGTGAGGTAAGACATTCCCACTAGAAAGGACAAGCAGACTGGAACAGCTACAGTGACAGAAGATACATCTTCATAATGAACCTGACCTATACTCAGAGCGGTAGTTACTCTAAATACCAACAGAGAGGGAAGGAGTCTTCAAGTATCAATGCTATCCACTCTGTACACAGGGTAGATAAGGACGGGCAACTTAGACATTGGCTATCCAAAATGAGGGGGCAATAAAGGCATGAAGTGGCTGTCTTACAAGGTTTCAAGAGGGAGCTTAGTTTAAGAGTGTCGGGGGTGGGG